TCAATCAGGCCCACCTACTATCAGCAATGCACCTGTGGGCTTCCATCTACCTGGGCCAATACTGATAAGGCAGGCTCCAAGGACTCCAACATAAAAGCTAGCAGAAGGAAAAACAGAAAGTAAAGGACGAGGCAAGTACTACGGAGTTCTGGCTCTTCAGACTCGTCTCCAGAGGAGGCTCTGTTGAGAAGCACTAATGCAACGCAAGCATGCCAAGACGCAGAGAAACTGGAAGGAAGCCACGTCCGAGTCATGGAGAACATGCCTGTGTCTGTAATTGCTGTTTTCAGAGCTGCCCTCAGCGGGGTTCAAAGCTGGGGCTAATCCTGCTTTGCATATTCTATTAGAAACAGGGACAGCAGAAATAGCTCCATGGTATCCAACTTTGCAAGAAGGGCAGAAGATAGAGTTGGAACAGAGAAAATATGGGGACCTATAGGATATGTAAATCTAATTTTGAGAAAATAGGCAGCTTACGTGGAAGAAGTGAGGTTGAAAACCGTATCTAGGGAAAGCTATCAGAAAAAGAAAAAGTAATCTGAAGGTAATTTTTAACTTAATGAGAAAACAAAAATTGGTGCTAAACTGCCTGTCCAGATATTGGAGAAAGCATTACAGTGTTCATGTTGGATTTCTTCAGCAAATGCCCGTATTTGAGTGAATAAATGCAGTTTCTTGAGAAATATAGAAGGATGTGTGAAAAAAGCAGCTCACGTATCATCCATCCATGTCAATATGTACCTTAGGAATATGTGGCTAAGGCTCTCAAGAGTATTACAGAATGTTTTCAATTCAGCCAGGAGTACCAGCAATTTGGCAGGACCAGAGGTGATTTAATTCTATACTTCTGTGTAGCAGACGCATACGTAAATAAAATTTAAAAAATAACCAGCATGGTATCACATACATAGATTTCTATTGGCATATGCCTCACACACAACAGGGGATACTATCAAATTAATATTTTATAAATACTTTACACTGACTTAGAAGCTGCATGAAACAGGGCTCTGTTTGGTCAATGGCATCTGTTAGAGTAGATGGCGAAATTCCCTCTCACTTCTTAGGAAGCAGTGCCAGGTGTCTGTTGGGTCAGAGTGAAGTTATCTTCATCTCGCTCTTTGATGAACAGAAAAATACCCAAATTAAATATTGCAGACTTCACACAGACAAAATGCCCTCAGAACTCCCCATCCAGTCAGTTTAGTTAAGGGCTGCAGGCTGAGCTGCTTCCGTGTCCAAAAGCACGACTGTACCAACAGTGGCACCTCCCGAGGATAACAATGACAGTAAGATGGGAGGGAATGGAGCAAGAATTCAGATGCAAAAGGGGAAGGAGAGACAAATAGCCTGGTTCATTTTGTGCATTTCATTTACCTGTAAATCACCCTCAGCTGTTTTTCCCTTTGTTTTGTGATCGAGATGCTGCACACCTGAGCTAATTTTGAAGTTAAAAAACCCAGAGAAATAAAGCTGGATAATCACTGTTTTGATAAGTCTCCTTTTAACTCCGAATTCTTGTTTTCACATGCTAACGACACAAAACCTTAGTGCTCAAAACCCTCTTGACTGATCTGAAAAGCAGCTCTGCATTCCATACCTCATCCAGCGAGACTGTTAAAATATTTAATACTGTATTTGTTATGCAGACAAAAAAGACCAAGTCAGTATTTACTAAGGAGTGTACATTTTTTTCGGATTTACTGAACTTGCTAATTTTATACGGCAAGAAGAAAGCACGAAGCATGTCCAGAAGTATGTCTGGGCCAACTGTAGAGATCTCGTCTGACCTATGCATAGGACAGAAAGAATGTTTTTCAAGCACCTTTGCTGATGCCAACTGCTGCGACTTACTTCCCATATAAAAATATTCTTTAGACTGATAAATGATGTGAGTCAATGCAATGTTCTCTAAAAATGAATGGCAGTGGTAGGAGAGCACCTTACGGATGCACATTGGGGAACGACTTCACAGTCTCCACTTCCAAAAGCTCCCTCGGCACTTTTTTCATGACAGTGGCAGTTCACATGTACCAGCCAGCTGAACTACAGGAAAGTCATTGAAAAACTCCGTGTCACCTCTAAACATCCCTAAAATTTTGCCATCTTTTTGAGCTATGCTCCGCTCCACATCTGCCATAGCCTGTGATGCAAACAGGAGCATTTTAGTGGCGTAAGGTATGAAGACTCCCTGTACATGCACAAACCTCCTTTCTTCCTCCGTAAAAGAATGATGTGGGGGTGTAGACGTTACAAAAGGAGAAAAACAAGCCTCAAGTCCTGATCTTCCTTTCCAAGTAAAACCCAGGCAGAAAAATGGAGTGTCTGGATGCCCAATAGTAAGCGGGAAGGACAACATCTTGATGCCCATGTGGCCATCACAAACAAGGGATTTTATTCAGTGGAAAGATGGTAAAAACCATCAAGGAAAGGGTTATTTTTTCTCCTTTTCAGACAGCTTTGCCAAAATCTGATCCTTCCCTATTTCTGCTAATAGCACAGCTGTACTTCCAGAAAAAGTTGGGCTAATGCTTCAGCTGCAGCCTCCTTTCCAAAAATAATTGTCCTTTTTAGTGAAGATTTGAAGGGAGGTTATTGGTGCTGTGCTACTGCCTTCAGACACAGGCTCTTCTCACCAGCTGAGCACTGTGCCCCTCCTACAGGAGGTGGGGACAGGAGTCACTGCAGGCAGCTCTGTTCATCACAAGACCACCCTCCTCCCAGTGCCGTAGCCACGAAGGAAAGAAATTCCTCTGTTTCCTCTACGGGAAGAAAATCCTAACAAGGATTTGAGTCTGATCATACAGTTTTGCCTCCTCCCCTTCACTGCTCAGCTTAGTGGGATTTCAGCGTAAGAGATGGAGCTATACAGAAGCAGTGGAAGAGGGAGAAAACGATGCTGAAATAATGTGTAACATACCATTTCCTTCTCCTAAATATGATACACTTCTTACTACTATTCATTCTGAGAGCTGAAGAGGACTCTTTCTCCCTGGAGATCTTTCCATCAGGCTCAAATCCCCACAGCCAGCTCTTGGAAATGTGCCTTTTTTTTTTTTTCCCCCTCCAGGGCTATAGTAGCCTATCCTCTGTGAGGATTATAGGGCAATAAACAACTGGAGACCACTCTGCAGCAACAAGCATTGTGACCAGAGCACACAAGGTATGGAATAGAGCTTGAAATTCAACTCTACAAACCAATTTTAAACTCAGAAGGAAAGCGAACTGGTCAGCGACTTGCTGAAGACAGGCCAGACAGCTCAGCTAGCGCTTTGTACTTCTCTTCTGGATTATAAATGTATGTACCCCCAAGAAATGAGGCTGATCAAAAGCAGAGACTCCTCTCTACCTCTGAGAGTCCCCAGCGTTTCAGCCTAGGACGCTGCAGTCGCGTACGGCAGCATCTCCTGCCTGTGTGTGCACGTTCTCTGTGTGTGACAGCACTTACAGCTGCAGTCCAAAAGTAGCAGCTGCCTGTTGATACAAACCCTCACGCTGGAAAAACAGGTGATAATGAATTCTTGAAGCATATGCAAGCATTAGGCAACAACTCCATGAATTGCCAGCAGCTGTTTTCAAGAGCCCAGCCCTGCTTGCCGCAGGTATTTATTTAAAGTATGGTACCCGCCCTGATATAAAACACATGCACAGACACAGGCATGAACTGCCCCGCAGTCCCTTACGGCTCCTGAACCAGGCCAGGCCAGCAATTTGTTTGGGAATTTCAAAGCTACCCACTGGGAAGCTTCCCATCATAAAAAGCAAAACAAAGAGAAAGGAAAGGAGATAGAGAGAAAAATAGTCTAATTTCCGTCTCATTTTATAGACAGATCCTTGAAGAGAAAGTCGCATGGCTGTTCAGGCTTCCAGCACTTCTAATGTATGTTTTGCTCACACAATTAAATCCTATTCAGGATCACATATGACAGGAAGAACTTTTCACAACAACAGAAACACCTCAGATATTCTTACTTACAGTATGGTTTCATCATTTTAACCTTTTAAGCAATGTGGCACCGAAACATTTTCCCTCCTTATTCTACTTTTTTGATGATACTTAGAATGATTCCATCTACTCAGACCGTTCATCGATATCATCTGAAATAGTTCTGCTTTTCACTGTACCCTTTTGCTCTGCTGCTGTCTCTTAGCAGTGAAGCTACAGCTGCCTCCTCCGGTACGGAAAGGAGAGGGACAGTGTGCAAGAAAGTTGCTGAGGTTACAGAGGAAGCAGTGACATGACTGGATTCTTTTCACGATTCTCTGGAATTAACTGCACATCCGACTGAGAACTGAGACAGCAAACTAGAAACTCATGGACAAAACAAAAAAAAGAAGCGCCTTAACTTTATTAAAGCTGTTACTGCTAAGTTTGGGAAATAAACAACTCTTAGGCTCCGCGAATCCCAGCGAAGAAGAATCCACATCTGAAACAACTCGATGTCATTAGAAACACTGAATAACACAGTGATCAAAGGCCCTGTCAATACAATTATATTATATGGGAGGATAAGAGGGAGGCCCAGGCAACTCACAGTGTGAGTAATTGGGTTATACTGTAGGCTTGCTTTTAAACACTGCAATCCACCATGAGAATGCTGCAGGTCTCATTTAACTGGGTCACCAAAACTTAGGAAAAAGCCTGCTAACTTAAGGCTAGGAAGTGCTATTTGTTTGCCTAACTTGAGGCTACAAGGTGTGACCACCGGGAAGCGTAAGCAAATGCACACAGGTAAGGGCAGGAATCGGGACCAAGAGATGGAACAGGTCAGAATTGTGCTCCTCAGGTTTTAGGACCCCTGTGCACTTACAAATTATTTTGAATTCCTTGTACACAGTCCACATTTAGTAGCAACAGAAATTTAATATAAATTTCAGAGCAGAGTAAGTTCTGTGCCCTCTCAAACCACCCAGACAATGGGTGTCCACCTTGAAAAGTGTATCTCTATCAAGCCCCAGGGTCCTGACAACCATTTCACATACTAATTAAAAGTAAATACCTTTCAGTAGGCAATCCTCCCACAGCCACGTCTTGAATCTCATTGAGGTCAAGGTTCTTAGGCTCAGCTAATGCAAGCGGTGATAGCTTCCTTTTGGCATCCTGAAGTGAGCTTTCATGTTCCGAATTCCTCTTGCTCGGCTGATTTTCAGTAAGAGTGAGCTCTGTAGAGGCAGAACGCTCACCCTGCTCCATCGCAGGAACGCTTGGGGAGTGATTTTTGTAGAGGTCTGTCTCCTGCTCTTCAGTGCTCATGTTTGTAGCTAAGTCACCTTCACCAGTGACTAACATCCTTGCAGTACCTGTTTCAGGGATGTCTTCATTTTTTTTGTTACCTGTCTTTGCTGTGCTTAACACTGTGTCACTGCTCTCCTTCCCATCTCCCTCAGTCATATTGCTAGAGTCTGGCTGGGAGTCAGCTTGCAAGCAATCATCCTGGCTTACTTCATTTTTTAAGTACTCTATTAACCCATGCACGGTCACTTTCTTTTCTTGCTGTGCATCTTGCGAATTTTCCAATGTTTCCAAGCGTTGCCTATTTACTGGATCATCCTGTATCATCTGCATGTCATCCTGAGCCTTAATGTCATGCATAAAGTTGCTGCAAATGTGTGTCTCCTGATTTTCCCCAGGTGACACATTAAAATTGCCTGGCAATTTTTCATGATTGTAAGATCCTCCCGGGACAAGTGCTGAGGCTGCCATGTCAGAGATGCTCTTGGCAACGTCTGGGTCACCGCACTTACTTTTCTCCTGTTCATTTGGCTTGAGATCCTGGCACTGTTCAGTAGGAAGACTCACATCCTCTTCAGATGAAACTGGTTCTGCATTACACTCTGTAATTAAGTTATTTCCCTCTGCGGTAGCAGCATCTTCTAAGTCACTCTTCTGTACATCGCCTGTGGAGATAACAGCTACAGTGTCAGGATGTGCGGGGAAGTTCTCAGCTGCTGCCCCATCAAATGAAGCCGGTCCTTGCTTTTTTATCTCTAAGCTTATTAGCAATTCAGGATCAACGCCACTCGCACACACGCCTTCTTTTCTTTCCATCTCACCGCTCTCTGGATGCGCAGTGGTTCCGTCTGGCTTTTGCAGATTTTCCACCCCGCGTTCAGCAGGTGTAGCGCCATCCAGTCTAGGGACCATGTCTAAAGAGCTGCCGGGCTGCCTGTTTTCCCCAGTGTCCTGGAGACTTGCTGGTGGCGGCTCTGCCACTGCGATTCCTTGTTGCAGAGTTTTGTTCTTGGGAGCTTTGCAGGAAGCCTCAGTAGCTAAAGACAACTCTCGCTCCTCTGCTTCTGAGGTGCCCTGGGGAGCTGCTTTGTCGGCCTTGTTTGATTCTGGGAAGTTCTCAGAACCGCACGGCTCTGCTGTATCCTTGGCCACTGGACTCTGCTTGAAGGCTGCATGATTTTCGGGCAAAAGTGGGGGTAATTCAGCACTCAGTGTGCTGCGGACAGTTTTTTTAAATATCTGGCTGATATGTTCCCTAAAGTCTGGGAGGCTGGAGCTGATGTCCAGGGAGCTGCAAGTCAGAGCCTCATGCTCCCTTCCAGAGTTCTCTGCAGACTGCTCAGAAATACTGCTCTCTGCCCTGGTTATGTTATTATTCTCTTTTGAAAGCTCTTCCATTTTTTCTGAATTCCCGGGTTTCTCTAAGATCTTACCGCACTTGTCATCTACGCAGATATTGGCTGCAATTTCCTCATTACAGCCTTCTTGTTTACCAACAGATGAAAGGCTCAGCAGCTTCCCTTCTAGAGCAGGGATTGCTAACAGAGACTCTGCTGAACTGTCACTTCGCTGCTCTTTGAAGTTTACCTCACTTCTTGTTTCTTTGGCTTTAATTGCAGATATCTCTTTCTTCAGCTTCTCAGAACTGAGCTGTGATAAGTTTTCAGCACTCTGCCCCACATCTAGAGTCTCTGGCAGGACTAAACTTCTCTCTCCATCCCCCTGAAAACTTTGGTCTGGGACATCTTTCTCACTCACATACACGTTCCCTGCAGAGCTGTTTTCTGAACTTTCTGATTTTTTATCTGTGCTTACCCTGGGTGAAGGACCTAAGCGCACAGACACCTGAGAACCTGCAGCAATCTGCAAATTAGAGTTCCCTTCTAAGGCCTTTTGGCATGCTACAACTTCCAACTCGTTATTTAATAATTCCCCCCCGGTACCATTGTTCGTATTGTTTCCAGGTTGCTGGCTGGGATGCCTGAGTGCAGCGGTCGATGCAGAGGAGGCTGTAAAATCTGCTCGACAATAACCAGGCTCATCTGGTGTCTTTTGAATGCAGCTGGATTCGTATGACTTATCGGTGGGAATTACTTCCCCGTGTGCCCGTAATGGTGAAGGAGATACTCGTGCCTCTGCTCTTTTATCACTTTTCACGTTGCTCATTTCGGCGACAGAAGCACTGTCCTCACAGCTTATCTCCGTGTTTCCATCTTTCTGGATGATTTCCCCATCACCAGTCAGACCTTCATTTTTTTCCAATTTTTTTGCCATTAATGGCATTTTCCCTTGAGTTTCTGGACGAGATATTCGAGGATCATTTTTCTCAGAATTATCAGAAGCATGTGCTATTTCTGTATCACTTGGCAAAGCCTGTGATATGTTAGTGGCACTTGCTGTATTCTGCATCCCTGGAAGAGCATTTATAGCAGCAGCACAGCTTTCACCAGTATTATCCTTTATCCTGCATGTGCTGCCTGGCTGTTCATTCTTGTCAGATTCTTTAGAAAACGTATCGCTATGACATGCTGCTTCATGCTGACTAGCTGAGATCAAAGAATTATTATCCTGCTCGGGCTTGTTTGAATTTTGCTTACTGCGGCAGTTTTCTTCTGCCTTGAGATCAGTTTTGTTTTGCTCATTGCAATCTTGCAAATTAAGCCCGGTCACACCAGAAATATTTTGCCCGTGTTTGCTGCTGCACGAATCCTCTGACACCAAGGTGCTGCTTTTATCCACGTCCTTTTCTTCTGCTGTGTCAGAGTTGCATTGGATTGGCGCTGTCCCTAGCACAGGAGAGTCTTTATTGAGGTTGTTTGAAGTGTTTGGAGGCATTTCTGGTCTGTTGCTGTGGTTATTTGCGTCCAGTGAGTGTTCAGGTTTTAGAGCCCTCTCTTTGTGTTCCTCATCACCTGCTCTTGCAACAGTTGTCAGACTGCTTTGCTGCTTCTCTTGCTCTTGTCCTGTATCTGAAATCCTGCCACTGTCACCAGCAGGCACCGACTTCTCTGTCTGCTCTGCTTGGGGAAGAGCAGTTGGAACATCTGCATGTTCCTGTAGCCCTCTGATACTGCACTCCGGGGTCTCCAAAGAGCTGCCTGTGTCATTCTCAGAGGGGCAGCTGTTTTCGCTGACAGGGCTGTCATCCCCTTCCTCCATGTGAACCTTCTGAGGAGTGAGTCCTGAAGTACCAGCTACAGCTTGGGGGGTTTCGGAACAAGCCATCTGCACATCTCTGTGACTTTCTGCAGCCGCTGGCTCCAGCTGAGCTTGCATCAGCACATCCGATTGCCATTCACTTTTCAGTGCCAAATCTTTGTCGTCTGCAAAACTTTTCACCGTAGTTTGGTGCTTCTCATGCTGAATACCCTCCTCTTCTTCACTGTCGGGGACACTGCTTTGTGCAGCTGCAGGTCCTTGCTCTGGATCACTGTGAGACATTTCAGTGACGTGACTGACCTGTTCTTTGGTTTCCAAAACCCGGGAGGCCTCCTCAGTTTGTACAGCCATGCGATCCACAGTCCCTGCCAGCTCCTTTAAGCCCTGGAGCTCAAGTTTTGATTTGGACATTTCTCCACTTTCTTCTAACTTGCTACAGCTCTCAGGCTTTTCTTGACTCTCAGTTTTGCATTCAGATTCCAACACGGTTTCTCCAGCAAAAGCCTTTTCCCAGGACTCATCCTGCTTACTCTGCTTAATATTATTGTTCTCTGAGTAGAGGAGCGATGAACTGTGTGTACCAGCTAAACAAACCTTTTTAGTCCCATTACAGCCTGGCTGGCCTGAAGTTTTGTCTTCTGCCTCAGTGTTAAAGCAATCAAAACTCAGTGGGCATTCCTCCCTTGGAAATTGTGATGAAGCCAGGAGCTTATTCTCTGGGTCATCTTTGGCAGCTGTTTTCTCTTTATTCATTTGTTCAGGTTTGTAACCAAGAGAGCGTGAATTGTCTTGAGGCAATTTAAAGTTACTGTCTAAATTCGGAGGCTTTCCCACAGCTTCTTCCCCTAGGTCACCTGGTGAAGTATTGTCACAAAGACTGAATTCTTCAGGATGGAGTCCCAAGTGGGTATTTTCCGTGTCTTGGTGGTGGCTACTAACAGAGTTCAACAGTTGTTTTTCTGCCCTATTTGACCCCTCAGCTAATTCTCTGGTTTCTGTCACTTGGGCCTCCTCTGTTCCGATTTTGTTTCCTTCTTGTGTTATGTCTGCCTCAGTTTCTTTTTGATTCAGCTCTGTGGATCTGCTCAGAGAAGTACTTAATGCATATTCCTCCAGTAATAATCTTTTATCTGCTAGGGAATTTTCCTTGGTGGGATTGATAATGCTTTCCATTTCAGAAAGTGGGGTGCTTTCTCTAGACACATCATCAGCTTTTATAATTTCATCGCTACTGGCTTCATCTTTTGGGCTTTTGGTTGTGACAGCTGATTTTTGTTCTTCCCTTTTCTTAAACGATAAAGGCATACTGAAATGCTTGGCACTAACAAGCTCATCCTCCTTTTGAAGCTCTCTTTGAAAAACGGGCTCAGTTTTTTCAGAGGCTGCTTTCAGTGTTTCACTCCTCATTGAATCTTGAGAGTCATTTCCAAGCACATATTCTCTCAAAGGCTCTTCAAGCTTTGGTACCAGGAAGAGATTTGGAGGGTTAGAAGCCAACTCTGACATTAAAGTACAGGCTTCTGATTGCTCCCTTTTGCTTCCAGATAGAGACAGATTTGCCTCATCCCCTTTTGCTGTTGTTACAGCCCCCATCTGTAGATTAGAGACCTCGCTCATCTCAGCTAAGACCTGAGCATTCACAGTCGCTCCAAATTTCTCACTGTCTGAGACTCCTGTTGCTGGATAATTTAGGATTAAGGCTTCCTTTTTCATTAGCAGACCCTCTCCACCATCTGTGTTCTGTCTACCTTGCTGCATTACCGGCTGCAGCTGACCTACTTCCAAAACTCCTTGCTCCTGCCTGGCCTCCTGAGTGGTAAAATAATCTCCTGCTTCTTTACCCTGGGGAAACGTGCTGACATGTGGTTCCCTCATGCCACCCAGCTGCTCACTCCTCCAGAGCAATCCTAATTCACCCAAACTCATTTGTTCGACTCCTCGCGTTTCTGTGATTGCTGCAGGAGGGCTGGGCTCCAGGCTTGGGTGTCCGGGATCGTTCTCCCTGCTTTTCACAGAAGTGACAGCAATATTGTTGCGTTTTCCATCCGCAGTTCCATCATGTGCTATTCCTTCTTCTTTGTCAGGCGCTGGGCCTGGTGATGGCACCGCTTCGTTGCAACCTGAGGTTGGTAACTTGTCATTGTCGCTGCTTGTAAGATCCGCTGTGACATGTTCTTTGGCACAGTCTGCGAAAGGCGTGGAGCTAGGCAGACTTCTCTCTCTTGCTTCTGCAGCCTGCTCTAAGAGATTAGAGTCTGTTTGTCCTCCTTGCTCTTGCAAGACAGTGTTCTGTCCCGTCACCTCTGAAGACACCACACTGGGATTTGCGTTGGAGAAGCCTTCAGCGCTGTAGCTACTGATGCCTTCATTACCAATGCTGCCAACAATGGAAATGTTTATTTGTTTCATGCCAATAAAGAAGCAAAGAATATGAAGCAAATGAAGCAAAGAATCAAACCAATTTGTGCCACTGATGTTTCAAAGCCATGCAGTACATGCACCGAGAAGCTGATAATCTGCTTTCAGGAGCTAAACCAGCCACACATTACAGTGATTTAATGCTCATTACTCTAGAAAATATGTCCTCAGTCTTACCTGGCAGCCACCATGCTCACGGCATGCATTTTAACCATTCCAAAATCTGCGTTACGTGTGGGAGGGGACACACACATCTAACAGACTAAGGCAGCAACATGGGGAAAAGTGACAAAGACACTGACAGAAAGGTTTAATTTCTGCTTCTCTGGGACTACTTTGTGCAAAACCAGAGGCCGTGCAATCCACAGGAACTGCCCATATCTGGCCATACTCCTGGTGTGTAGCAGAATATTATGAAGGGCCCATCAGTTGAATGTGTTCTCCAACTAATCAGTACAGGCGATTCTCACCGAAAGGTCAAAGGTCTCACCCTGCCGAATGGCACCAGGTTGCCACACAACGATACACGCCCCACGAGGTCATTTTATTGCAGTGTTTGATTTCAGTGCATATAAACTGTAACCGTTTGTATCATCTCTTTCCTCACCCATTAAAGAGAAGATAGGAAAAAACATACACAGAGATGACGTGGGTACACTAATTGCAGAGAAGGAGAAGTTGTTTGTAATATTTTTCACATGCGCTGTGCGGACCTCCGTTTCCACAGCTTGGTTTGCAGGTGATGAGATAGGTGAACCTTGTTTGCTCCCTCACCTCCCCTGGGAAGCCTGGATGTATTTTCATTGCCTTAGGGAACAGGGAGTGAAAGAGCAATTCAAAACTGAGCGTAGCATTGTACCTAGGAGCAAGGGGCATCATTTACTTAAAGCAAAATAATGAATCTCCCACCTGCTACCCCCCCCAATATTCCAAGCAAGATACACAGACAAGGTCAGTGTGACGGCAGCGAGCTCTAGTCCACAGCTTCACAGAGAGAGCCCATCCCTGGAGCTCTGCCATGGCTTAGCAGCAGCACCCGACATCTCACAAATTCAAAGTGCCTTACAGACTGGAGCTATAAAAGGTGCTTAAAACACCTTCTCTGCAAGCATTGGTTGGATTTTCAGTCACCTCCAGAAAGCTGAGAAAGCCTCTCTCCCCTTCTCTGCCCAAAATACGCACAAAATACTCGACGGAGAAGTGAGTTGGTGACCAGCTCTCAGGTCCCTGCCCTTTAGGTCTGTGTTTAGACAAACCCTGCCCCTTCAGTCACCACTGAGGCAGCCCTGAAGCCCAACGCCCTGGGGCTGTGCTAGGGTGCACAAAATGCACTTCCAGGTGGGGTCAAACCCCCTCCTTATACCGAGGACCACCCAGTGCAACAACCTTTTCTTTTTTTATGGGAGGGCTGCACATAAAACTGAATATGAGCCTGCCTTAGATCCCAAAAACCTTCTTTTGAAGACTTATTGAAATTTGCCTGTATTAAGGCTAAGTCTCTAATCTAAGGTAAAGTACCTATCACATACAATTTACAGATAGTTTAAGCAAGTTTCAGAGATGCTTGGCATCGGTTTGAACATTTATAGCACCAATGCATTTTATTCAAACTTTAAAAAACCAATACATTTTATTTAAACTCAAAAAAGATTGTTTTGTCTGAAAGGAATTTTTCTCTTCCTCGCACACTGAAAACCGCTATCCATGTAAAACTTACTGGCACTGGGAACACCACAGATGGCAATGCGATATTTGGTGTCTGCTGGACCATGGGCAACATGGGCCATGATGGGACATGAATGAACAAGGAAATGCCAGGAGGCTTTCCCTAAGGAAGGAACATACTTTACCATTTGGCATTAATTTTGTACTCAGGGAACCTTAATTAGAAGAGGAGGGGCAGAAACCACAACACTGGACTGAGGAGGAGATGGAAAAGTGGGAGTCAATTGCCGTTCCAGTTTTTCATTCTGTTGCAAGTTTATCTTTTCAGTGATTAAATTGCTTATGAGCAGTTGCGTGCCCAGGGTTCTTCAACCTGGAAACATACTCCTGTCGGAGTTACAGTGGGCACAACGAAGGCAGGTGGAAGTTGAGGGAGAGAAGCCTCTATGAAAATAAGCATTGGAAAAAGTAGGAAACACCACCTACAGTTACAGTTTCTCCTTATTGCTTGTCTTTAACCTCTGATTCTTTACTCAGTGTTAATCCTATCTGTCATCTGAGTTAGGAAAAGCATGGTAACAAATCCGGGATCAAAACATTGGTATTATTCATCGTACGGACGATACAGCCTTAAATATTTGCATTTTACAGATTTTGGCTGACTGAAATTTCTCTAAGACCTTTACAGACATGACTTCTATGTCACATTGTTCTATCTGCAGCTATCAGATATGAAACAATTCCGAACATGCCTGAAGTGGTTAGATTTTCCTGAACACAATTGCTAAACCCATGATCTACCGCCATTCCAGTAGCAACTTCATAAAGAGTCGTTGTAGTAAATTTGTGACTCAGCAGGTTAAAGGACAGAGAGCAATCCTATGAACTAAGGTATTCAGCATTATCAATCAACTAAAACAAATTTTCTGGTGTTGAATAATGCAGAAAACTTGTTCATTTTACTCAGGAGTAGATGAAGGAATCAGGACAACTTTGTAATTAATGTATACCGAACAGAATTAAAATGACAGTGCTGGCACATGCTGTGACAGCAACTTAAACTTATCACTTTTAGAGTGAAGTAGTACACATTCATCATCTGTGCTACTGCAGCTTGCTTCAGTGTTTTATTCAGGACGTAACAGAGAGTTGAAAGTTTGAGTTTCCAATCATACTAAGACACATCCAGACTGACCTGTTTGGATACCTCCATTTACGTTTCTGCTTCTGATGTAGGTAACAATGAAAATGATACAAGGAACATATCCTACATCTTCCTTTTAATTTTTTGTGATCTTGCTTTTCTGTCTGCAAGACACTGCTGGGGTTAGACAAACATCTGTTGGGAATGGCTTAAGCACAGCTGATCCTGCTTTAGGGCAGAAGGATGGACTAGATGACCTCT